AAGCCAGTTCTGAGTGACTAGATATCTGATTGAGGATTAAAGTATGTGCTGAAACTGAGTGAAAGGATTGCCAACTAAGTGCTGTTTCTGACAAAATCTTACTTTGCAAAGTTTCCTAATGCCAGTTTTACCATTTTCCTTTGGCAGAGATGACCATATTGCAGCTTTGCTGACAGTGAGGGGTGATGCCAGCAGGGATATGAAGCAGACTATCATTGAGACTTTGGATCAAGGTCCAAGCCAACCGAATCCAAACTATGTGCCAATTTTTAAAGAAATTACAGTTCCTACCCTAACTGTGCCAAAACTTCTTAAGTAATTGACAACTCTGTGTTTGTGTGTCATGAGTGCTCTGGGATAAACAGATTTGAAATATTTGAGGGCAAATTTGGCAATGCTATTTTGAGTGAAGTTCTATGATACTTGCTAGGCATGTTTCTAAAAACTTGAATGTGAGGAAATGTAAGATTTCTGAAATAAGATGGTTTAAAGGTCATGCTTGAAGAACTAAGCTTTTAATGGCATGGGAGGTTTTTTTACTGACCCATTTGTTACAGCTGTTTTGCTGTCAGCAGATACTTTTTTTGTTGTGCAGTATGTTTGCACAGTGCACTGCAATGCTATATAAAGATACTTATACCAAAACCTGCAGAGCTGTATTAGTGCTGGATATACTAACATACATTGCTTACAATACTTAAACAGGCTCCTTTAGAACTGTCTTTATATAGCACTGCACTGAGTGTTAATGTCCTGAACCCACTTTCACATTATATTTTGTGTATGTACTTAATTTGGTGTAAAATAGTTTATTGCAGAAAGCTTAATTATGAAATCAGTTTTCTGAATTAAGAGACTGAAAGAAATTGCTACAGTGCAATTTGATTATAGGTTGAATAAATAAATAAAGACATAAGGTACAATTTTTTTCATTGATTCACTAAAAACAGCACATAAAGCACCACCAGTTCAATAAAATGTTAAACCATTTCTGTGTTCAGCTATGATTCTTTGCATCCTTATAGATTTACAGAAGATGTAAATCTTTTTTCTTGTTGTAAGTGTGAATAAATATTGGATTTAATAGTTTTCTGAACACACAAGATACTGGGTTTTATTTCCACGGTATTTTCAGATTAATCTCTTTTAATTATAAAATAGTACTAGACAACTGTGGGTTCAAAAATACTTTGTGAAGGACACAATGAAGGCATTATCTGTTATACTTGAACAGAGCTGTCAGAGGTATGTCCAAGGAAGACATGAGCCTACATTGTTTTAATTAACATTCTGGAGTTTGCGTATGTAACTCCTTTTGCCTGTGGACATGCAGACCTTGTGCCAGTCCGGCCCTGACACCGACTCCTCAGCAGCCCAGAAGAGATACATGCAAGGTCAGCAATTTGGACAAAGGATAGAACAAAGAGTGTGGCTTTCTTCACTGACGGGGGAGCATGTCCCAAAGGATAAGGATGGTTCAGTAAAGCATCATATTTGTATGTCTGTGCTTGGGAGGTTTTAGTGAGCTCTGGAGGCACTCCAGGTCTCAGGGGACCGTACACTGTTCCTAGAAATTGTAGGGGGAAGGGAAGTAGGCTGATTTTTGGATGATTATGTTCAGCCCTCAGTAAAGAATTCAGCTAAAAGTTACCGAGGTGATACTAACTTGGTTTCTACACAAGTTCAGTCCTGTACCTGAAATTCTAGTCCCTTGTGCTTTCGATCTTCACTTTGCGCAAGAGAATCAGTCCATCGAGCTTTGCTTCTCCCTCTTTTTCCTCTGCAGCAATAATCCCTGCAGAGGCTTGGATATTAAATTTATGCTATTTTCCCTCCAGGACAAGACACTTCCCCTGAGCGGGGACTTAGCAGGGATCGATCACGGGGACGGCTCCTGACTTTGCGGGAACCGTCGCAGCGGATGATGGCTCATGGACAAGGCGGGGGGGAGGGTGGGGAAGAGCCGCCACTCCCCGGCCGCGGACGCGCTCGGCTCAAGCCGCAGGGGGCGGGGCCGGAGGCCGCAGAATTCCCCTCGTGAGCCGCTGCGGGACCGAGCCCGGCGGGAAGAGCTCGGGATTCCCCGGGGCGGGGCGGGGCTCGTGCCGTCACCGCCGCGCTGCGTCACGGGCGGCCCGTGGCGGAAGCGCGAGGGCGATGGCGGCGGGGTACCAGCACCGGCACAACGGCGGCGGCGGCGCCCCCCTGCCCGACCCCACCTTCCTGTGGAACGTCTTCCAGAGGTGAGACCGCCGAGACAGCCCCCCCCGGGCGGGGACGGGGGCTGCCGGGGGAAGGAGCGGACGCTGGGAGGTGCCCGGAAGCCGCTGCGGGAATCCGGCGGCCGGCCCCGGGCATCCAGCGGTAAAACCCCGCGGTGGTGTCCCTGTGGGGGGAACCTCGGGGGGAGCTGTAAGAAAGGAGTGAGGAGGAATAAGTGCGGCCGAGTTTTAGCGCAAGGGTGAAGGGGAGCGAGAAGGTAACCTTGAAAACACTGAAGTAATTGTTGACCCGAGGATCCAGAAAGGATTAAGTCTGGAGGATCGGTGCGGCGATACAGGAAGGCTCGTAAAAAGGGATCTAATAAACGCTTAGTGGAAGGCTTTAAAGCTATCGACAAACTGATAGCTTTAGGGCGAGAGGCCGTGGTCTTAAGCTGTGCCAGGGGAGGTTTAGATTGGACATTAGAAGAAGTTTCTTCACAGAAAGGGTGATTAGATATTGGGATGTCAGTATTGTCAGATGTATTGGGCGGAGTCACCGTCCCTGTAGGTGTTCAAGGGAAGACTGGACATGGCATTTAGCGCCATGGTGTAGTTCACATGGTTTAGTCAAAGGTTGGACTTGATGATCTCGGAGAACTTTTCCAACCTAATTGACTCTGTGATTCTGTGAAATACTCTCTTGAATTCACCTGGAGCAGAGGGACCCACAAGGAAGTTAGCAAGCCTGTGTTAAACAAACACACTGTCGAGATTGTAGCAGTAAAGAAGCCAAAGGAGATTTCACGCTTGTGTCATATCGAGGAAACCAGGGAGGTGCCTACGTTGGATCTTTTTTTATGGGAGTTGAGTCAAGACAGATCCTGTGACACTAGTGGCAGCAAGAAGAGATTAAGCAGTAGACAAACAGAAGTTGCTAAAACTGGCTAGTATTTACTGAGTGACTCAGGAACGCGGCAGCTTACCTACCCAGCCTTCTGTAAAACTTCATCTGAGCACTCGGAGGGGGCAGGCATGAGGCCATTTCTTTTTTTTAAAGGGTCCAGAAAGAAACAGATCAACAATCTGACTTCTGCACCAGGAAAATGAGTAGAAACCATCCTAAATGTTGTAGTTAGTCAGACTTAATGTAGGAGTTGCATGGCTTTTGTTGAAAGTATTCCTGTCTGGAAGACCACTGTATAAATCCTGGAATATGTTAGATAAGAACTGGGTATGGATATGATGGCTAGAACTGGTGCAATTCATATAATTTGTATACTTTCCAAAAAGACTCTCAGCAGTATCAAAGGCCTTTCAAGGAATCCAGTAAATGTAGAATGAATGGGAAGGTCCTTTGGTGGGTAGAAAACTGACTGAAGAGTGTGTGGTCATCTGCCACACTGACAGATGGAACTGTTCTGGGATCTTCATTCCCTTAGTTCAGGAGCAACTGGGGGAACACAGAGTAGATATTAGGAAGAATAGATTAGATATTAGAAAGAAATTATGTATTAGGAAGAAATTCTTCACTGTGAGAGTGGTGAGGCACTGAAACAGTTTACCCAGGGAAGCTGTGGATGCCCCATCCCTGGTAGTGTTCAAGGCCAGGCTGGATGGAGCTCTGAGCAACCTGGTCTAGTGGAAGGTGTCCCTGCCCATGGCAGGGGTGTGGATCTAGATGATCTTTAAGGTCCCTTCCAACCCAAACTGCTCTATGATTCTATGAAAAGAGAGTGAATGGTCAGATGAGGTTTGCTGATTTCTACAGTAAGTGAGGCCTATGAAGCCTCGCAGGAGCACCTTACAGTCCTGCCTGACTGGGTCCTATCAGCCTGTCATGATCACTGTATGACAGGTGAAATCCAGAGTAGGTATCTGATGTCCGTGAGGAAAAACCCATTTTAACTTTACATCACTTTATTTATAAAATGAATGTGATGACTGATGATGCTGAGGAGCAGGATAAGTAGGTCACAACGCAGTTTCATTAAAATATCGTCTTAGCACTTAGTAGGAGCTCAGAAAAGGTAAAAAATGTTCTGAATACTGAAAAAAGAAATACAGAATAAAAAAGGGGAATATATTTTTGTTGTTGTAATCTTTGCAATTTATGCTTGCAATTTCCATGTTGCATGTGGCTTACATAAGTTTTGAGATGGGGAGGGAAGCAATAGAATGAAATGAAAATGTTTAGAAAATGACAAGAAGGACCAAAGGGAAAAAAATCAGCTTCTGCAAAGAGGGATCAGCTGAGCAGGACTCTGCTTTGAAATGTTAGGAATGAGAGAAAATAAAAACTGTCAGTCCAAGGGGAACGTCTTTGTGTGGAATGAAATCCCCACCACTTTCAGATGCTCTTCTAAAGAAGGCACTATCCTGCTTTATTTGGGCAGAAATTACTTAGTTCATTAATTTTGGCATAGAACTAGATTCTCCAAGACTGTGAAGACTCAATGGAAGCTGGAACCTGCCTATGCTTTCTTTTTAAATGCCTTTGAGAAGGCTCAAGGCCCTGCAGCTGATTGAGTCTTTCAGTACTTTGGTCACGTTAGTGGCTCTCTCCATTGCCAAGATTTTACTGAGGGAAACTGGGTGCCAAACCTGTCACTCCAGTTTGGGAAACAAACAGCTTACTACTGTGACATTAAGTATTTTGTGGATTTAACTAGCATGGTGTGCTCTGCAGTTCTCTTAAATGAATAAAAATACTTTCTTGTGCAGAGTATATCCAAACTGTTTTATTGTCAGTGTGTGTTTCTTTGTGTGTCTCTTCACTCATAAGTAAATCTTGCAGTTTTCTTTGTAGCTTTTATCTTGTTCCAGAATGTCTCCTCAGTCTGAATGAAGGGTTAAATTTGCAGTAACTGTGAATGGTTGACCAAGTTAAGTGCAATTAGTGACTTTTCAGGAAAAGGTTAATCTTATCTGGTGAGTAAGAGCCAGAATGTTCAAGTCTTCTGTGAGTGGAACCTGTTAAATTCAGCTATTTAAAGCTTACCCCCTTTTTTTTTCCCCAGAGTTGATAAAGACAGGAGTGGAATTATATCTGATAATGAACTTCAGCAGGCGTTATCCAATGGTAAGTACGTAAATGAGCCGTGAGGTAGTTCATTTTAAACTTAATGTTAAATTTCTTGTGAGACAGGTCACTTGATGCCATCATTCTTTGAACTGATCAATACTATTTAATCTACAGCAAAAGGCTGGGGAGGCGAAGGAAAAAAAGAACAATCCTCCTGATTTTTTTGTTTTAAACTGAGTATCTATTGTAAATGTTACTGATCTGTATTTTGGGGAATGAAGGGATCCACATCCCTTTTTTTTTCCCCGTCTCTGCTTCCTGGAAATCATAACCAGTTATTTATATATTCCTCACTCATCACTACTGAACCTTTGCTTTTTAACCAGGATCGGTGTATAACCTGGACAAAGATTATCTGTTTACAACCAGTCTTTTTACTGCACATAAAATCTTTTCATACAGTATGGGGCAGGAACTGAAGATAGTAATTATTTTTTTTCTTCCCCAAATGAGGCATATTTGAGGTTTTTTCCTAATAGAGTAGAAAGGTGCACTCTAGATCTAGTACTAAAACGTTCTAGTAGTCTGTCAGTTCCCTGTATTAATGCTAAAGAGTAACTAGGGTACGGTCAAATAACTCATGGAAACAAAATTAAAAATGAACTTTTTTTTCCAGTAGCCTATTTTTACTTTCCTCTCATGACTCAGTGTGGGTAGGGTTGTACTTTGTGGGTTTGTTTCCACTTAGGAATCTGAAAAATGGCATATTGAGGTTGTTTATGCACCTTTGAGTTCATATCAAGTTCCTCTTCTCCCAAGGTTTAATTCCTTTATCCTTCCTGTGCTTTGTGACTTGACAACGGTTTAAACTGATGTGAGCTGCAGTGCACACAGGCTGAAAGGCCCCTTGTTGTCAGTAACTGCCTGACTTAAAATAAATTTGGATGGCTGTATTTAGTAAAATTGCACTCTAGTAACTGAACTGGATTTACTAGAATATTCATTGAATAATGTATCTGAAAAATTAAAAGCAATGTATTGTGCCTGCCAGACCCGATCCATAACTAAAATACTATTTTGAATAAAAGCTAAGTTAAATTGATTAGGTCACCATTTTCACTTAAATTACAGTGCTGTTTAGAACTGTGGGAACCTGACTTTACCTGCCGTTTTAAACTTCATATAGTTTGAATATCTTCTCATCTGATTAAATTTAAGGGTAGTAGGCAGTGATGACTATCTGAACTCTTTTCTTTCCTTATTTGCAGTGTAGATTAGCAGTTGCAGTGCTTTGCAGTTATGAAAAATGCCTGCCAAGTGTTAGACAAAATATTTACAGAGCTGTAAGCTTCCTTCATTCCAAGAGATTCTAGATCTTGTACAACCAAAGTCACTAAAAATTCACTATATTCTTTTCAAAACTTATCCTCTAGTGGATGGCTGTGCATAGCTGTCCTGCAATCTTAACACGGGCTAAAAGAATGTTATGTGTTTATTTCTAAAACATTTGAAAAACTCTGCATAGTGCTCATTAAAATTTGAAGCTCAGTGTGGTTTTGACATTTTGACATTTTCAACATGTCAAGTTTAAGCAAATAACAGTATACTTATGTGGGAGGGAGTGATCATCCCATTGTATAGCTGTTTCCACAATAAAATCCTGTGCTTCCTTCTTGTTTTCTTCTGTGCTGCCGTGTGAATTAATAGTAGAGTCAGGAAAGGAGGCAGGAACAGTCTTTCACTGTTGGAATAGGCTGAAATCAGTACAGTTCTTCAGCTCTGGAGTTGCTTAGATTTCACTCTATGGCATCTATATGATTCTCTTGAATATTTCAACGTGAAATAAGTTAACTTATTTCACTTTTTTCCCCTTTATTTTCACTTTTTCCTCTTATTCTGTTCAGAGTTAAGTGCTGACACCCTATTAATAATTCCATTATTTTTCATTTTTGTCAGGAGACATACAACTCTAAGGTACTGATGTTCTCTGTCTAAAATACTGCTTAAGCATTTTCAGAGCCAACTTTTCTCTTTCTCTGCTTATGTTTCTCTTTATGTGCAAACAGTCATACGTCCTGCCTACAGTACAGGGTTCTCCCCCATATAGACTTACACCACTGCAGCTTGATCCAGCAAAGCTCAGTACCAATGCAGCCCTCCTCTTAGGTACCTGTGGGCAGCTACTGCATCACTGCCAACACCTCTGCAGCGCCTCTCCTCTCACTGATTCCTTTACTCCTTGTCTCACTGATCCTTTGTAGTCCCTGCACATAACTGCAATTAATTTAATATCTGCTGCTTCATCCTCCTGGTTCCCTCCCAGGCTCTAGAGAAATGGTGGTGAAATTCTAGATGAGGCACAATATTTCTCTTAATTTAAAGCTTAATGCTTCCTAGCACTCGGGAATGCTCTCAACCAAGTGGAAACTATTCCACAGCAACTAGCCTCTAAATACTCAAAGTACAAAGCTCCTCTTCAAATGATTACTGCTCAGGCAGCAACATTTCTTGTTCTGAAAATACTAATTTAAAACATTTAAACTAATGTCTAATTGATCTAGCAGTGGAGGTGGGATAATTCTAAATTGCACTGTGTGGTTATGCCATTTTAGAAACCTCTTCTTTTTATTTCTGTCAGAAACTAAGTGCCCTGGAGCAGTCCTGTAAAACAGGAAATGAGCGGATGGGTTTTCACTGAGGAACAGATATGAGACCTTCATTGAGTTGTAACTTAAAACTCTTTTGCTCCCATAGTAGAAAATGAACTACTTCAGTTTTGATCTTGCCTTCTATCCAATACTTCCTGACAGCCTGGGATGAAAAAATCCTTCTTAGATCTTCCAGCATTTGTTAGGTTTTTTTGTTGCAGACTGAAAAATGTTGGTTTCTGTGTAGTACTCGTAAAGCATTGGTCTGAAGTCATCTCTGAACGGTCAAGAACATAATGACTTCAAAGCAGCCTTATTTTGAATACACCAGCTCCATGTCATCTAGCTCTGAATTCACTTCTCGTAACTGAATTTTTTGTTTGGTTTGTTGCATTTTTTTAAAGTGTTGCTTAGTATTGAGGAACTAAGTAATTCTTTCTGTTTCAGGCACGTGGACTCCATTTAATCCAGCAACAGTCAGGTCAATTCTTGGTAAGTGTAGTTGTGTGATGTGAAATAGTGAAGATACTGTTTGTGATCATTCAGATGATTGAAAATGCTATCAATTGCTGCACTGTTTTTTTTTTCCTCAGAGTGTCCAGCAGTAGTAAGTTGAGTTCAAATATTTTCCCTTCTGATGAGTACAGGGATGCCCTTTTTGTGCACATATGTGCATTTGTTGAAGTAGCCTGAGAAAATTTACTGACAAACTGAATAGATAGTGAATGTAATTTATGCATGGGGAAATTGTCATATTAAATATTCTAAAAAGATATTATATAGCTTGTCTTTGTAAATAGTTTTTCTTGTCTTGCATTTTAATCCTATGTTTCACTCCAGAAATACCAAACACGAGCTTTAAAATGTTTGATTTCTCTTAGGTGTCCTAAAATAATTGCCAGTAATGTGGAAGATGATGGCTGTAGAATAGAAAGATAAAAATTCAAGCACAGTAACTCTTTTCTATCACACAGTTCATAAATCCAAGGACTAAATTTTTTGCTTTGTTTTCAATAAGTATTCAGCTCTGAATTCCATTGCTGTGTGACATGCTTTTTGTATAAAGATGACAGTATCAGTAAGTCAAATGCAGGTGAATATTCCAGCATTAGACTTAAGACTTTTTAATGTGTCCTTAGAAAAGAACAACCCACTCCTCTGCCCATTTTAATTGATCACTGGATGATCAATTAAGCCCTCAATATTTTCAAACTGAAAATGAAAACCCAGGAAAAATAAACCTTCTGCAATTCATTCTGGTCACCTTTCATCTTCCTTTATCTTTCTCCTTCGGTGGATGACTACTTGCTTTTTCTTGGCAGAACTTTCCAAAATATCACTTGTATTTTAGCAATTTCTTTTCTGTCTTCAGTGCTCCCCACAAAGTGCTCTTGCTGTTTTCTTAAAATACTGGCAAAATCCTTGCTGAGAGGAGTAGTATGACTAAGGTTTTATATGGGTTTCTTATTTCAGGGATGTTTGACAGAGAAAACAAAGGTGGTGTGAACTTCAATGAATTCACGGGAGTCTGGAAGTACATCACAGACTGGCAGAACGTCTTTCGAACGTATGACAGAGACAATTCTGGAATGATTGACAAAAATGAACTAAAGCAGGCACTAACAGGTTTTGGTAATTCATTTGTAATTACAGTTTTTATGATTGGGTTATGCCATCAAATGAGCTTCTTATTGTTAGGGCTTTACTGCTCTGACAAATGTGACTAAAAATGAGGCAGGTGAAGGGCAGCTACCTTCTTAGGTGTAAGGTTCCTTTTAATGATGTCCATGCCACAAGCACATTTTCTTTTTTAAAGCCGTTTCCTTTAATGAAAAAAAAAGAAAACATCCCACACATGTACTGACACATCCAGTTCCAACCTCCTCTCTCTGCTCTGAGAGCGTTACCAGCGCTTCAGGCAAATGTCTGAACTTCCAAGGTACTTGATACAGCTTGCCACTTTTTAAAACAAAGCCAGCTGTCTATGCTACGAGAGCATTCTGGTGGCAAAAGAAATTCCATTCCAGTGACTTCACTTGTAAAGACTTGAGCTGCAGCCCTAAACTGTTCCCTCAACCAACTAGTCACCTTAATCAGTAATTATATTTACTGTGACTCTGCGTATAATTATTATTAAGCATGGTTTTTATTGCATGCCTTTTTATAACAGATATTTAGAAAAAAAAAATCCGTTTTAACTCCTCACTGTTTTCTCATTTAGTGACACACGCCTGTTGAACAGCCTTGTTCCTTCTATAGAAGGACTGTGGTATTTGAAACCTTTTAAAGCATTTCTCTTTTTCCAAGGTTACCGACTGTCTGATCAATTCTACGATATCCTTATTCGGAAATTTGACAGACAAGGAAGAGGACAAGTTGCTTTTGATGACTTTATTCAGTGCTGTGTTGTTTTACAGGTAAGAAATGAGATGTGCTTTAATGCCAATTAAAAAACAAAAATTACCTTTTCTTAAGATTTTATGGTTGTCACTTTAACAGTGGATCTAGAATAAACAAATGGTTTATTTATAATAAACCATTTGAATTAAGTATATGAGAGGAGCTAGAAACATCTTCATATATTGGTCTTCATTACTTATCCATTTGCATCACAAGTAAATTTGATAAAATTGGGAGGGGCAAAAAAATGTAAAATAGTCTCCATGTTTTAAAAGGAAAGCACCTAACACTATCTCCATTAGTTTAATACACACTTCTTCTGGAGCTTGAGTGTCAAAAGTGGAGTGTTCTTGTCCCATGGTGCCTATAATTCTCATAATCTGATTTACAACTTTTTTGTGTATCTCTGTGTTTAAGGCTCTGATTAAAGGAGTTTGACCTAGTAGCTGAATTACTCAGTCTTTCATCACAGCAGTACCTTCAGGGACAACGGTAGTAAAAGACATTTCAAACAAACAAACAAAAACCCAACAAAAACCTTTGAGAGAGAGTACTGTAGGTTTGCAGGTGTATTTCTTTGTTTAGAAATCAGTCACTGGGTGATTCCTCACCTCATTGCTTAAGGTTTCTCAAAGCTTACTGACTTTTCTGAAAGGTATGTAAGATTTGTGGAAAAGTTGGGAAACTGTAGGAGTTTTAGTAGAACAGGAAAAAGTCTGCTGCTCTTTCTGCTGGCCAGCACTGCAAGAATATCTTAAGATATTTTTTGATATGCAAACATGAAGGGAAAGCAGTACCCTGTAAAAGTAGTATCCCTGTTATTTGCACTCAGGTTCTTCTCCTTTTAGCTTTATGTCTGTAACTGTAAGTCTGCTGAAACATCAGTTGCCTTGATACTCAAGGCAATTATAATTAGTTATAAACTTGAACTCTAGTAAAAAGGGCTTTGAAATGGAGTTTCATTCAGCTGAAACCATGCTGGTAGTTATTCTGGTCCACTGGATGTACTGCCTGGCATCTCTGGGGTTATACAGAGACAGCTCAGATACCAGTGACACACGAAGCATATTTGCCTAGAAGGTGAGAAATGCACAAGGATTTTGGATTCTGTTTCCAGATGACTCTCAAATGTACCATTGTTTTTCCCCCCACTTTAAAGCCAGTTATAAAAAGCTGTCTGGTCTATAAAGAAGTGCCTAGAGATAGACTTAGGTGTTGTATCATTATTGGCAAAGAGCTATCTTTATACACACAAGACTGTAAAATGGCTACAGAAGGGATGAACAGAAAGGGTTTCACAGAGCTGTAGAAGCAAGGTGGCAGGGGGAATACATGGCAGCCTGAACCTTCCCGACAAACAAAAATGTGTATTTTTTTCCCTCCTCCTCAGAGGCTGACTGATGTGTTCCGACGATACGATACTGATCAAGATGGCTGGATCCAGGTGTCCTATGAGCAGTATCTTTCCATGGTCTTCAGCATCGTATGACACTGATAACTAGGAATTGCACACTGGCATTACACAGACTGGAGTTGCCAAATCATCCTGTACTGAATATGATTATCGATGTATTATAATGGATGTAACTTCGCGTTCTTAAATTTTGTATGTTGGTCATCACCTTCAGAATCTGTACTTGAGTTGGTTTTTATTTTGTATTATTGTACGATATGACCATCTCTGCTTACTGTAGTACAGAAAGCACAGAATCTAGATTTAACTGGTGCGATGTCAAACTTAACCTATTTCACATATCCTGCATGGGAAAAATGACTCTTTAGAAATGCCAAATTAAAATAATGCTTGCTAGTTTATAAAAGAGTTGGAAGTCAGAAGTTGCACAACATGTTTTGCATGTGCCTTACTTTTATAAGAGTTTAATGTATTAATTTTTAATACAGAATTTAAAATTAAGTAAAAATATTAGATCAACTTTTGTAGTCTGTTTCACTCTTGTACAGCTTTAAGGGGGTGGTGGCATTATTTCTGTGTTTCAGAGATGTCTCCCACTTGGATGGCTTGTTTTTCTTGTCTTTTATTTTCTGGCTGCCTCCTTTTTTCAGGGTATCCTTGGGTGAGCTTCAGATACAACTTCTTCACACCTGTGTCCATTACTGCATCTTCCTTGATAAGTTCCGCACAAAAATGAACTCTGACTACTATGAATGTGTTCCCTCTGCTTAGTCATCTCATTTAACATCAGCACTCCTCTATTTTGTGCTGAAGCACTTATTTGAAGTGGCCTTGAACTGACAGTCAAACACACTCATAGGGTTACCCTGCATCTCACCATTTACAGCTGATGAGAGAGACAGTGGAAAAACTGAAGCAAAACAATTCATGACTGTGTCATACACCATCTCCTGCAGTAACTCTGCAAGCAACTTGGAGGAAGCAAAGAGAAGTTAACAAAATAAGTCAAGGTTACAATGTTATTTCCAGGTGACCCTGAGATTAGCTCAGTTGGTTAAAGCATCTTTGGCCCTTGTGGGTCCCTTCCAACTCAGAATATTCTGTGACTCTGTGTCTTAGCCAAGATAGAGTGTCTAGTGTTAGGGTGAAGACAGCAAAGTGGCAACTGTGCAGTTTACAAACATTGTCATGCAGAGAAGCTGCTACTAGTTGTCAGGTGATAATCAATCAGACCCTTAGTGACAGTTCAGCAACGCTCTGAACACTCTTCTGGTGTGAAATATCTGGGACCAAGACCCAATGGTCTCCATAGCATAAGCCCACCAAAATAAGGAATTCTCCCAAAGCACTTAGGGCATTGTCACCCAAAGGCCAATGGTTTTTTGGGTGAAGAGAGGGAGCAAGAATAATGGCCAATGTCAGAAACCACCTCACCCACAAGCCTTGAATGAACTGTGAAAGTTACTTTAAGAAGATAAAGGAGAAAGACTTCCACCAGTTACTGCTTGAAACTTCTCTCCCCAGAAGGCTGAGATGATCACAAGATATGTTCTCTTCCAAAAAACATTAACAGAAAAGCCCCAATGTTTTGGGCTCAAAAGAACTTGCCCATTCCTTTCCCACTAAGGAATCTGTCCCTTTTGATCATACACCCACATGAAATACAGTAATTCTGGGAAACGTTTTGAGGAGCATTAATAGGTCTAAGGTACAAAACTAAAAAAGCTGGAATCTGACAGACTTCCCAAGTTGTCTTGTCTGAAGGATGTTTGGGTCCAGCTGGCCTTGTTCTGCTTCACTGTCTTGCATGCAGAACAGCTGGCTCCAGCACTTTGTGAAGGAGCATCACTGCTGCAAAGAATCACCCAGGTGGCTCTGGATGGAAACAACCCTGGTCCCAGTGGATAACACACATCTGAAGGTATGAAAGCAGGTACACCACAGACCAAGGAAATGGCTGAAAAGTAGACTGTTTACCCCCCAGTGCACATTCTAGTCTGGATGTTTATCAATGGCTTTCTAAGGAAATGTGAAATTGATGCAAAGGGCTCAGGTGCAGCCTCAAAACGCCTCCATGCCAAAGCCTGTGATGGAGCTGGTTCAGTGCTGGCAGGTGGCAAGCGCCCAATGCTGCTCTGCATGCTGTCAGTGCCTACTTTGTGAAGGCTTCTTGAAGAAGAACTAGAGCCTGGACAAACAGGAACAGGCAGAGGAATCATTCTATTCCAGTTCTATACTACATGGGAGCAAGATAAGGCAAAGGGGTTTCTTGGGAGTATGGAGTAGTCAGTAATTTACAGCTCAGGAAACCTTTAGTAAATCAATGCTCTCTTAACTTAGTCAGTACTTCAATTCTGATTCAAAGTGGAAGAACTGTTTCCCAAATGCAGGACTCTGCAGGGCCAGTAACTGCTGCTCAGAATGAAAAATACGAAGGGAATGTGCACGTGGAAAGAACATCTAATTTGGGCAGAGATCACCCGGCTGCTGTGTGCAAGTGGGGTGTACAGTAAAGGCCATAAAAGCCCAAAGGGTGTGAGAAATGGGGAAGAAAGAGCTTTCTACAACAAGCTCAGATGAAAAGGTCTTGAATTGAGAGTTGCAACAGTAATATTTTCTAGCAGCATTTTTTCTACAGTTTCAGAATTTTAGTTGCACTACACTTTCTGTGGTAGTAACATTTGTGTAAATAATTTCTGATAATTTTTAAATGTAGATAATAACTGATCAGTCCCACAGAGTTGTAAATCAAAACTCTGGCAGACACCTGTGGTAGAAAATCATACTTTTCCCCTTTAAGCAAGAAGGTTGACTATGGAATTCAGTGGATAAAAAAAAGTGTATGGCACAACTACTAAGTGTATGCCATTACAAACCACTCAGACACACCAGTAAGTATGAGAGGAAGTAAAGAAAATAGTGAACAGGAATGCAAAAGGAAAGCGCATCTTTTCAGGTGCAGAAGCAAAATAATTACAGAAGGACAATTTTAGGGAATCGAGTTTACACACTCAATAATAAATTGCTTTGAGATTTCGTTAAAATTTACATGACAAGATCTAAAATGTATTTTGTCAGCTCATGAAGACTAATCCTGCTTCAGCACAAGTATTTAATGCACAGACACAGTTTAGGTATGGGTGAGAAGAAAAATGGTAGTCCACAACACAGCAGTGAGAAGGAAAATGGACACTGGGGAGTAAAGTGTCTCACTTTACTTTTTTATTTCAGCTCCATGTAAGGTGGTTTTAATTACATAAAGCAGACATCTAAAGCCAAGAATTCATCAGCATGTGGCCCAGAAGTGTGGGGAAAAAAAAAAGAAAAACACAGACCACTGATAAACATCATGAACTGGTAAGTATTCCTCAGTTAGCATGACATTTTGATTATTTATTCTTTCCTGTTATTTTATCTGATTGCCTTATAGATTTTACTATTTCTTAATAAGATTTTGTCAATAGAAAGAATCAAGAATTTTTATTTTAGGATGGGTCAATCCATCAAATGAGTTTTTAAGTCAATTTATAACAATTTCATTCAGAACAATATAATAAAATCTGCATATATTTCACAAATTTTTACTATGCAAAAATGAAAGTAATATGCCATATTACGCACCAGTCCTAGAATAGATAATATTTTCCTCATATAGCATCACATTAAGACAGAGAATTCCTTTGCTGTGACATTCAGAAATGTAGTGTATCAATTTCTAAAAATATGCTAATTATAAAGTCTCAAATTAATAGAATTGGCCTTACATTTGTGTGAAGAAAAGTAAACCTGTATTTTTTAATATTCTTCCCAAGCAGGAAACATAAAACTTCTTTTTTCTTTTTTTCTGAATTGGGAAGGGTGTTCAAAGGTTTAAAAGGTCTTTTTGCTGATGGAATAACTTTAACATATTTTCAAAAAATAACAAAAGATTCTTTTTCTGTAATATACTAAGATGTAACAAATACATTACAAAAAGCCTAAACAAAATAGTATGTTGATCCGTTATGTGCAAGTTTGTGTTCCAGCTACATTTTACATGTTAAAAAATTAAACCCTACCTCCCTTTACCCTTCCAAAACCAGTTAAATGCAGAATTAAATGCAGTCTCTTTCCTGAAAGACAAGAGATGGAGACTCTTGAATCTCTTCATCTGTTTCCATTTCAGCTGTTGTTGCTTCTTAATCTTTTCCTCTAGTTTCTACTAGCACATTGACTAATGTCTGAATATTTAGTTCTAGAAAGGGGAGATAAAGACATTTAAAGTTACTTCTATTTCATCATATTTTACATAACACAGCATAGAAAATGTTAAAATGAAAGTTTTCCTATTAACTAGCTTCTTAGTTAATTAACTAATTCTAGTAACAGAAGCATTTGTCCAAATGACATGTATACAGTAGTATATGCCCATGTGCCTTTAAACCCCTCTCATAATTTATTTTCAAAGGAGAATCTTTTATTTTGAATACTATATCACTATTCTGAACATTAAGGACTGTTTCTACAATAATTAGAAAAAAAAAATTGTCATATAATGAACCAGCTCTTTGATAACATTTATGTTATCCCAGTGGGTTTGATCCATTTGGATTATTTATTATAATGCCATCCAGGTTTGGTTCTGCATGCATTACAATGTTTTTCTTTATGCCAATACATTCCCTAGAATAGATTACATCTTCCTCATACAGCACCACAGTAAGACAGAGAATACATTTGCTGTGACATTCTCCTTTCTTTGTCTAAACAGAAATGCAGTGTATCAATTTCTAAAAATATGCTAACAATGTAAGTGTATTGCAATGTAACACTGCGGCCCTAACAGTACAAACTCATGATATAAAATACTAGTTAGAAAGATGACCTAGGACAAACCTTTCAATTCAGAAAATTTTTATTCTATCAAAATTTCCTCCCCCTGACTGCTCTATTTGCCAAGAGGCACAGTGTCCTCAGAGAGGCAATACCACCTTTCTGCAGCTGATACAGACCCTGAGCAAAAAGAACTCGACTCCCCTGAACAGCATGTGCTGTCACTGCAACAAACACAACACACAATCTCCTGCCTATGTTAAAGCAACTATGTTGATGTAACTCATTTTATGTGCAAACTAATCACAATCTTACTTTGAAGTACTGGATAATATGGAGCCAACTGTTTGAGCCTCCTGGTCATTGTAGGTATATCCTTTCCTTGTAGTCTGTTTACAGTGTTGGAAGCAAGACCAACATCATCTTCGTCAAACATCTTCTCTGAGCTTCTGAACTGCTGGTAATCTCTGTATGAACCACTGCCAGAAAATGAGTCCTGATGTGAAGTCCAGTCACTCTTGTAGCCTGCTTTCTGATGCCTGAATCCTTGACAACTAGATTCCTGGTTCCAGCTAGACTCCTGCTTCCAGCTAGAGCTCTGGTTCCACCTAGAGTCCTCATTCCACTCATTCCACCTGGTGTCCTGGTGCCACCTGAAGCCACCTCTTCCTGAAACAGCAGAATTTGCAGAAGATGTACAAGTATTC